AGTCAATAAAACATAACTAAACATCTTTCTGGCATTCTTTGCTTTCAGCCAAGATCCATCTGACATCAGCAATGATATCCCTTGTTCCACATCTGTTCTAAATCCCTCTTGCACCTCTGGAAGTTCTCTGTCAATGTACTGCTGCAACCATTTTTGAATTATCTTCAGCAGGAATTTACTTGTATGTGAAATTAACAGTATTGTTCTGATTTCCACATTCTGTGGTGCCAAAGGGGCAGGGAGGTGCCATCTTCTTATCTCCTCTAACCACACAAGAGGAAGACAGAATCACCATCAGTAGCCCAAGGCCTATTCCCACGAGGCCAGACATGCTGCCTCCCTCCAGCCCTTTCACCAACACTGATACCAACTGTTCCTCCGGCAGCACCTACCACCTCTCTGCTGCATTTGATAATTCGCTGCAGTGGCCACAGAGAATTCACAGATTATGGGGTTTATTAGGGAAGCAACAGGCTACAATTCAAGTTCAGAAACACACTCAGTTTCTAGCAGCCAGCCGTCTCACTTAGCAGCCAGCAGTCTCTCAGCAGCATGTGTCTCTCACGTCTCTCTCTCTCTCAGCAGCATGTCTCTCACATCTCAGGAGCATGTGTCTCTCATGCCTGTCAGCAAGTGCTTGTCTCTCAAGAGCACATTTCTCCCAGCAGCATGTCTTTCTCAGCCAGCAGTCAGAGAGACACCTTCTGCCTCTAGGAGAGGTCATTTGATCCTGGCAGAGTGGCCCAAACCAACCAATCCCAACATCAGAGTTCTACAATACCTGAGAGAGAACATACTTCCCAGAAAATTACTTCGTGCTGCTCCCAACAGAAATACCCCAAGTGGATAACTTTAATAATCAGGAGCTACTCAGTTTCTCACAGAAAATTCCCCCATGGAGTTTACAAAGACTTATGGCTAGAAAAGCCACACTATGTAATTTGCTACACTGCATGTGACATCACCTTTCTTTGGAATGAGTACAAATATGGATCTCTTCCAGTCAGTTGGCCAGGTAGCTGTCTTCCAAACCAAGGGAGTATGTCCAGTGGGGCATCCATTTGTTGAAACATCTTAATGGGTAATCCGTCAATTCCTGGAGGCTTGCTCTTTGCCAATTCCTTCAGTGCAGCTTTGACTTCTTCCTTCAGTGCCATTGGTTCTTGGTCATATGCCACCTCCTGAAATGGATGAAAATCGACCAGTTCTTTTTGGTACAGTGACTCTGTGTATTCCTTCCATCTTCTTAGAATCTTTCAGCATTGCAACTTGAGGCTTAAATTTTTTTCTCAGTTCTTTCAACTTGAGAAATGCCTAGCACATTCTTCCCTTTTGGTTTTCTAACTTCAGATGTTTGCACATTTCATCATAGTAATTAGCTTTGTCTGCTTGAGCTGCTCTTTGAAATCTTCTGTTCAGCTCTTTTATCTTGTCATTTCTTCCATTTGCTTTAGCTACTCTCCACTCACAGGTAAGTTTCAGAGTCTCTTCTATCATCCATTTTGGTCTTTTCTCATCTTTTTAATGATCTCTTGCTTTCTTCATGGATGATGTTCTTGATGTCATCCCACAGTTCTTCTAGATTTTAGTCATTGATGTTCAATGCATCAAATCTATTCTTTATATGGTCTCTAAATTCAGGAGGGATATACTCAAGATCATATTTTGGCTCTCATGGACTTGTTTTAATTGTCTTCAACTTCAA